AATATATATATATATATATAAAACTTACAAATGATATCACTTAGTATTTGCCTTTCTCTGTCTGATTTATTTCACTAAGCATAATATTCTCTAGGTCCATTCATGTTTCTGCAAATGTCAGAATTTCTTTTTATGGCTGGGTTTAATAGTCCATTGTATGTGTGTGTATATATACACACATACCTTCTTTGTCCATTCTTCAAACAAATTTGATACTTATTTTTATTTATAGATCAAGCTAATACACAATAAAAGTGAATAATAAATACAATAGTTATTTCAGTATAATATCACAAACCATTTTTTTCTCTAAAGGACCGAATATTAGATACAATCACAAAAGATTTCAACACCCATCAAAACCATGATCATACAGTTACCCGAAGAAAACACACTGAAGTTCTTCTAATAGCATGATAAGATATGTGATACTGTAACATTTGAAAAATAGTTCCAAAAATGGAATACTAAATGTACAACATTAATTCTTAATAAATTTGTTACAATAATGAGCTAAAGTATAATAGAATATATTAAGTCAGAAATCCTGTGATATAAAGACAACTACTTTCATGGGTGGAAATGCCAGTTATTTTATATTAATACTGTCAATTATTGTGATATTACTATTAGATTTATTCTCAGATTTCCCTTTCTGAATTTGCTGACTTGATCTTGGAACATAAATTATTTAATTCACTCTTTAACATTTTAAAATTTTCAAATATAAATCAATATAAAAAGATGTGATATATGTATTTTATATATATAAATAATAAAAAGAAAAAATAATGGCATTTAATTATCACCCATAATGTATATTTTGATGCTAACATACTATAGGTCACATATACATTTTCATTTATGATACTTTAATGTACCTAAAAATTGAGTTAAAACAATATTATTCTATATGTGCAATGAAATCACACAATTTGTGTGATTCAGTCCACTTAAGGCTCTCTTAGGGATTTAAAGGAAATAACTTTTTATGAATACCTCTTTAATTTTTGCTCTAATTGGCAGAGGTCAGATTGTAATCAGGAAGCATTCTCTAATATTTACTCTCCACTTGCCAGTCATGATGTTAAGTGTTGCCGATGACCCTGAGTAGTACTAAAAAGGCCATAGGGAGGGAGAGGGCAGGGATACAGTGGCTGCTTCTACACCTTCAGGACTAGCATCCCAGACGGCCCTGCCCTGGGCTTACTCTGAACAGAGTGATTGCCTCCGGTATGAAAATCCATTAGGGCCCAATTTACGTGGGTTTAAAGGAGCCTATTCTCTGATACTTGGGGTTAACGATTAGGCTCAGTTTCTCCCTAGATGGCTTCTAGTTATACTTCAGTTGTAGAGTCAAACTCTAAAGCTATAATTTAAAGCTTTGAGTGCCAATTACACCAGAAAAAATAGGTTTTAGTGTCGGAAAAACATAAAATGTTAACTTAATCAGAGTACTTTACTTGTGTAATAATAGAATGAAAGTTGTGTTTTTTAGCCATCAATAATTGTCCATTCTAATAACTGTAATAAGTTTGGGAGCATACTGCATGTTATTAAGAGTACTTGATTTTTTTCTCTTTAAAAACCACACCCTTTTCTCAGTCATGGCATGAGACTTCTTTGACGATGATGGAAAGTTTGTATGTAGGACAAATATATAATTAGCCAAAGAATTTCACTAATTTCCTTCAAAGATATTTTTATACTTTAAAGATACATGTCCAAAAATTAACCCATTATGCATTTAGTATGTACTTTAAAATGTTTTTTCATCATCAATTAATATTTATCAAATGCTCAATAGATGTACCATCAGTTTCTTCTTACCAGTGGATTTTTTATTAATTACATTCGCTATACTCACATAGATACATTAATATTGTGTACTTGGAGCATTTTCCCACAGGTAACTCTGAAAAATAAAATAAGGTGAGGCAACACATTTATCCTTGTTTGCAAGCCTTTGTTTGTTATAATGTCTCCGGTCTTCTCTTTGCTCAAGAAAGAGAAATCCCTTCCCAGCATAGACAAGCAGGACTTTTCCAATTTGGAATATTGTTTTGGGACATAGAACGACATTTCTGGGTATATAACATTAAGAATGTTTAGCAGCTAGGTAAGTTAAGCTTCTCAGCTGAAACCACAGAGAACAAGACCATATAGTTGCCTAGTGCAGAACTAGACTCAGATCTTCTGGTGTCTCTCTAGCCCCTTTGCTGCTATCTCATCTCCTGTTGTATTTAAAAAGAGAAAAAGCAGCTGGGTAGGTTAATATGTACCTTATTTGAAAGATGTTCCTAGAAATGATTCAAACTGGATTTATTTGCTTGGCAATACACATCAGCACTTTGAAACAATCTATACAAGAACCCTGAGGTTTGGAATTGGATTTACAAAAAAAGTGGACTCATCTTTGTTCCAACCCAAAAAACTTTTGCTTTGAGTAGTCAGAGAGAAGTTGTCAAAAGGGCTGACAATGTTAACAGAGGGCAAGGATACTGAGATGCTGCTTTGACTCAAGTAATGAAGAATTGATTAACTTAATTGATGGCTCATACTGAACAGTGCCCTTTAAAAGATATTTTTGTTACTTTTAAAAAGCAGAATTCTAAAACCTGAGTGCTCAGTCTCTGTAAGACATCTGCAAACATGTTTTTAGGCTTATCAATCTAGGGAGTAAAAGGCCTGAGAATTTGGAAAGATAGGAGAATGAAGAGGAGTGAGGTTGATGGTTCCAAGTTCTCACAGTGCCATTCAGCCCTCAGTTTCTTATCTACAAAGTTAAAAAAAGAAAAATTCTATTAAAAGAACTATTACTTCCTCTAAGGGATGCAAAGTATTTATGATGTAATTCTCAAGTCATTGCATGGTCTCCAAGAAGGTGAAGGAGCCAGACAAAATAGCTAAAAAATGCAGTAACAACAGCGAAGTAATTTTGTAATTCATCACTGTTTAGAAATAAAAGAAATTGATGCTCTTGGCTGGCTTTGATTTACCTGATTTCAAAGGAAAGCAGGTTCTCTCTTTAAATTGGAAAACTTTGATTAGACAGGACTTAGACTTTAGTTGGCCACTGGCAATGCTTTCCAATGAATCAGCAGAGCTATATTTACATTTTAGGATTTTTATATCCCAGACATGAAACCAAGAAATTCCGGTTGATGAAAAGTAAACAGGAAAAAGCTGGGCAATTTTGAAGACCCCTGTCCCCCAACCCCAACCCCGACCGAAGAATATCAACATTTAGCATTCGTATAGCACTTGACAGTTTATGAAGATCTTTTCACACATTAGTTCTCACAACAACCCTGTGAGGTAAATGTTGTCAGCTCCATTGTACAGACAAGGACGTGGAGGCTTTGTGCATTTTTAAGTCATCTGCCTAAAGTCATACATTTAATCATGAAGGAAGCCAGACTAAAGGCAGAGCTGCTGCCTTTTTATCTCCCCACCTCATCCTGCCCCCAACCCTGCTTCTCCTCTACTATGAAACTGTTAGATGGGTAGGAGATCAGAAGGGAAGACCAAGTTATTACTTAAACATAAGGAGGGGACACTCAATGTCCTGAGTCATTCTTCAGGAGACTCTTATATTATCTATGAATCTGGACCCCCCAAATGTGAAGCACTGATGGTGTTAATATTCCAGCATAGCACGTGTTACGTAAGGATACCCTATAACACTGATCAAAATATGTTTACAGTCTTCTCGAGAAAGTCTACATAGTACCTTGGGCAATCTACCCTTCTAATAAAACTGAGCATTCCTCATACAAATCTGGCTTTAAAGCGACCTTGCTGTGGGACAAAAAAAAAGATATCATCGGCCAGTTTTGTCTCTAACCTTCAGCATCTTGGTTATCCTGCTCTTTACAACCAACAAAATATGAGGAACCAAAAGAAGGAACTGCCAGTTCTAATGTTACTGATTTTAAATTTAGGTGATTTATATCTTCTAACAGAACTTGCCTCTTTCCCCTCTGGAAGGGGCACCCCCTGCTCAGTATGCCTCAAGTACACATGCCTCTCCAAGGCACCATGCCCATCCCCAGGCCACAGTTTGAGGCTACATTTTCTGATACATAAATTGATTTTATTGGCTGGAAACATAATTTCTCCAAAATCTCTTCTGATTCCTTTCAAACACTAAGGCTGATAACGAGCTCATTTTTTTTTTTCAGCAATAATGCCCCTACACTGTATGACTTCTGAATCAATCAAGCCTTAGTTATATCAGAAATAAAAAGAAAAGAAACCTACAGCAAAATATACAGCCAGGGTGGTTATGATTTTTCCTTCAGAAATACAACTTCTGTTATTTCTGGGAACTAGGCCTGCAAATTTTAGTGTAGCATTTTTTTTTAAATTAACATTCCAAATAAAACAATTCATAGCTCTGTGTTGTAGCAATGTTGAAAATGCAACTAGAAACACAATCTTGTACTCAAGAAATTGATTTATGCTTATCTCATGTAAGTTCATTTGTTCTAATAGTTTATCGCTGGATTCAGCCAACAGGTCAAAAAGTCCATTAACAAGAGTCAGGTTGAAACAGGAATGAATTTGATGGACTTGGAAGATTTAGGCGAGTCTTTCCATGTGCCCATACTGTTTGTTGGGCTTCTGTTATTAGTGAAAGAAGTCTGTCTTCGGCTCATACTGTCAGAATCTTCTTTGTTGGACGTTTGCTTCATGTTTTGGCAGCATGGGAAGCTCTGGACACAGTCTTGCAGGAGATGGCCACTAAAAAACATGTATATCCAGGGATTGCAGCAACTATTCAAGGAGGCCAGCAATGCAGTGATGGTGGTGGCTGGGTTTTCAGACTCTGTATGGAAAACGTAAGGGGAGAGAATTTAAATAGTCAGATGCAAATAACTGAACAGTGGATAAACTCATTTTTCCATTGATTAATGAAAGTGGGAAAAATGTTATGGGTCAATATAGAGAATGAAGTATTTTGTTTATCAGTCAGCAAAATGGCTGGTGTATGGAAATTGCATGGTTATAAAATATTTTTGTAAGCAAGATACTTTGAAAGTGATTCAGGTATTTTAAACCACCATTAAAATATTTAAATTGAATTAGTGGGACTTTCAAAGGGTTAAGAATATTAAATAATTTATTTAAAAATTTTTGAATCCTTTGTGTTAGCACTAGCATGTGCCAATGGGCACCACATTTACAGAATGGCTGTAATTGCAGTGAAATTTCCAGAGTCAATAGACATGTATACCAAATTGTATCTATCCTAATAACTCAGGCAAAAATATGACATTATGGAACTTGTTTAGTTTTTTTTTAATTTTTAAAATTAAGTATGTCCTTTTAATAAGAAAACTATACAGAAGGGGATAGTTGAAATAGAGGTCTCTGAAGGATACAATATTTGGTTGTTTTTCTTTGGTTAATTAGAAACTTCTTTGGGAGCAGGGTAATAGCTCAGTGGTAGAGTGCCGACTTAACATGCACAAGGTCCTAGGTTCAATCCTCAGTACCTCCATTAAAAAAAATTAAAAGAAAAAAGAAAAGCTTCTTTTAATTTTAAAAGAAAACCATCTTTGTGGACTGAACAATTGAATTACATTATTAAGAACGGATGAATTTGGAAATTCTAACAGTCTTTTTAATTATTTTATATGTATTTGCACTGATAAGCTACATAAATATTACAACCTTTCACAGTAGAGCTGTTGCCCTTATAGTATACCTTTTCTAAAGATGAGAATAATCAGCAAGGGCTGACTTTCCCTGGATTATTAAATATAAACCTGGATCTCTTCACTAATGTTATGCCAAAATAAATTACAGGTTATTTAATCATGCTTTGTGCTGACACTATTGTTAAAGGTGATCATGATCCATGGCTAAGACTGTTCTCAGAAAGAATGGAAATCATTAACACACCTATGCACAAGTGAAGAATTTTTTAGTAATTGTGTCTAAATCCTGATAAAGCAATAAGTAGACTGAATGTTTTTATTTGATTGGCAATAATTAAGAGGCTGCCAGGATCAAGCAAGACAGGAAGTGGTAAACCAAATATATAGCATTTATGTTGTAGTTTTCATCATCGGTGCTATTATAGCCATGCAAGAATTTTTATTTGTTTGAAATAAATTCACTCTCCAGTGTTTTTATTTGCACATATGATTTTCAAAGTGTATCACAAATACTTCCTAATCCAATTCCAAATAACAAAAGGGGACACTCCTTCCCAGATACCTATTTCCCAACTACAGTTTTTGTCAGTATTATTTCTATAATATATTTGATTTGAAAATTTTTTTCCTTATTAAACAAAAAGATTTTTTTCAAACTACATTATTAAATAATATTTTGGGGATAAGTTCTTGTGAAATTAGTTTTTCTAGTTTTTGAAGGAACTAAAATCACACAAGCTAGTAGGTGCAGAGGACATTCTCAGAAAACGATTACAAGAGTTGTGTGGAGAGGTGTACAGCTGTGTGGTCAAGTTAGTGCTAAAGACTAATGAATTAGCCTAAAAAACATTCAGAATTTATCAGTAGTCCTGCTTTGAAATACTGGGGCAAAGTGTTAAGGTAATTGTAGGAAAAAGTTAAAAGATTATGATAGGAAATGGAACATTAGCTAAATGCCACATTAAAATTACTGATTTAATTTTTACAGTATGGTATTTTTCACAAGCTAGCAAAAAGCAGCTGTGACAACAAAAATATTTCTCTGAATCTAATAAACTTCAAAGCAGGGGTATTAACAGTGGTTAGTGCTTTGGCAAAAAAAAAAAGTCTTTATTCTGTTTTGTAATTGTGTGGCTGACTGTAGGGCACAGTTTCTGAATTTGTGCTTTTAGGAGCATTATCATTGCATGCTACAAGTGCAGATTCCGGAGCCTCATTCCAGATCTACTGAATCAAAATGTCTGGGGTGGGGACCCCACGAACTTCCCTTTTAACAATCTCACGCAAGATGTCATTCTTATGCACACAGAAGTTTAAGAGCTATTACCATAGAGGTAATTATGAAAAGAAGTTCTGTTTCCTCTCCATCCTCCCCCACCCCCCACACGCGGCCCCATTCCTGCACCTTCCTCCATCGTTCCGACACCTACCGACCCAGGGCAAATTCTTATCCCAGACAGACCACATCTGGATGATAAAAAAGGGCGCCCAGCAAACGATGTAAGCCGTCACGATGACGAAGGTCATCTTCACCGTGCGGATCTTGGCGCGGGAAATGATCTTCACACTGCTGACACACGGCTCGAGCAGGAGCCCCTTGTGGAAGGTGCCATCCGCGCCCTTGGCGCGGTTACCCTTCTCCTGGCGCGCTGTTGTCTTTCCGCGGACGTTGCGCCAGATGTGGTAGCAGATGAAGCCGTAGCAAGTACCAAGGATGACCACGGGCGCCACGAAGATGCCGCCAGTCATCCAGGTCACGTAGGCGGGGAGCCCCCAGGGCTGGATGAAGTTGGCCCAGCAGTCGTAGGCCTTGGTGACGTTGTTCACCTCGACCACGGAGAAGACGAAGTACTGCGGCGTGCTCAGCACGAAGCTCAGCACCCAGGCGGCGGCGATCATGAGGCGCGAGCGGCGCGCGGGCTGCTGCAGCGTCTTCAGCGGGTGGCACACAGCGATGTAGCGGTCGGCGGTCATGACCACGAGCATGTAAGCCGAGGCGAACATGGCGAACACCTGCAGGTGCTTCACCACGCGGCACAGCCCGTCGGGTCCACGGAAACGGTAGGTGATGTCCCAGCACAGCTGAGGCAGCACCTGGAAGAAAGCGACGGCCAGGTCTGCCAGGCTGAGGTGGCGGATGAAGAGGTGCATGCGGGACTTTTTGGAAGGCGTGCGGTGCAGCGCCAGCAATACACTGCTGTTACCCAGCACGGCCACCACGAAAATCACGGCTAGCACAGCGATCTCCAGCTTGGCCACCTCCTCGTTGCGCTCGTCCCGCTGCGGATCGCCGTCTTTTCCGAGCGCCTCCGTTTCCCGGCTGGCGTTGGCACCGCTGGTGGCCAGAGGCCACCACAGGCTGGAGTTGCCAGCGGGCCCCGCGCCGGGGCTCCCGGAGAAACGCATGCTGTCCATGCAGCGCTTCCTGGGCCTCCCACCGTGGCCCGCTCCCTTCCCGCCTCCGCTCCCTTCTTCCCGCGCTCCCGGCGAGCCCGGCTCTGCTCTTCCTCCCGCGGGTGTTTCCCGGCGCAACGTCCCACCTATCACCTCGGCTGATCTCCGTCGCGTCTCTGGCCCCTTCCCCTGCTCTGCCTTTTCTCGATTCGGGCGAAGCTGGGGAGGTGCGCTCCGAGTCTCTGAAAGCACTGGACTCCGAACTCAAATTATTTATGCGGAGTTTGTTTCCCCAGACCGCGCTCCTTCTCGCCCTAGTGGTTGGAGACTGCCCGCTGACTCCTCTCACTACCTCCCTCCCCTCTCCCTCTGGGGTTTTCTTTTCTTTTTTTTTTTTTTTTTGGCCCCTTTTCCTACGTTCGTGATTTGTCCTCTTTGCATCACGGCTGCAGGGGTGGGGCTGGGAGACTCGCGTATTCATCGGCGTAACGGGGAATCGTGGCGTTTTCCCGCTCTTCTCTTCTGAAAAACTTGGCGAACTGGACGTGTAATGCATTTTTAGGTCTTACCACCATTTCCTCAAGCCTCCCTTAAGGGTCACCTTAACCTAGCATTTGACTTCAGTAGACGCTGTCAAGGTGATAACCGAGAAATCCCGAGTCTACCAGCTGGCCTGCGCGCTTTTGCACCTGAACTTGGCGCACGGTTCAACCTGCTTCAGCCTGGGTTTCTCGCTCCGCGGCGAGTCTGCTCGTCCTGCTGGGGCAGCCAATCTGGCTAATTTTATTCCGTTGGTAATTTGGCTACAGGAATTTAGTCGCTCACGGCTCTTCTCCACCCTTCCCTACGGAGTAGCCAACTGAATGACTTAAAGGGCGCTGTCTCTTCCCAGTGACTTCTTTGATGCCCGCTATTTGTTACCCTGCCTGCGTTCGCGGACCGGAAGGACTCACTCGCCTGTCCCACTGCAGTCCACATGGCTGCTGGGCGCGTATCTACAGCGCAGAGAAGAGGAATGCCTCCTGGTTTTCCAGTTTCCCCCGGGGCTGGGAGCGGGTTGGGGAGGTGGGTGGGACGTAGGGAGTTTTCTTTAAACTAGATTCCTGGGGTTCCCTCCGGGAGAAAGCCTGACTCCCACAACGGAGATGGGCGGGTATTGGACTACAGTGGTCCGTGGGGACTTCATCTGGTTACTGCTGACTCGTGGGGACATCTCTTCGGGTGGACAAAGAGCAGCTGCTGGAGAGCGGCCGCCCAGGCAGCGCTGTCCAGGGCAGCGGAGCGGAAAAAGCGCCAGGTTCCTTGCTCTTGAGAAAGGCTCAATTCCCAGCAGGAAAGAGGCTCTCTGAAGCAAGACAGAAAAGATCACCTATCTGTTGGTTACTCTGAACAGCTGGAGTCCAGCTGCGGGGCCAGAGGCGAGCACAAGTGCTCTCCAGTGAGCTCTGAGTGTTGACTTTGGTGAAGATATGCTTCGACGGACAGCAAGGGGGAGCCTTTTCACGAAAGAAGGAAAGAAGAAAAAGAAACACTTTGTACGGTCATCTACTCTGTAGATACCATGAACATAACTTTTTGGTCAGAATATTTGTGTATGTGATGGTGGTATAAAGTTGATTGTCTCAGAAAAAAATATCTGTGAAATGTAGGCAAAGAAATCAAAAGATTTTCTGAGGCGCAGTTCTCAGTGAGAACTCCGCCCTGCTTCCCAGTTCATGCACAGCTGAGTCCTAAGGCTGTCGTATTAACAGCCCTGGACTCCACCTGTGGGGCCCTGCTTCACTGTGGCTGGATCAACTTCCGTTTATGTATCTTGAAAATAAGACCGAAAGGACCCACCAGCCTTACCAACTTATGAAGTTATTGTGAGGATCAAGTAACACAATGTTCTGTGTGGGGAAATACTCTGAAAAATACACGCTGTGTTGTGTTGTTTAACTTTCTCTAAGCTATCTAGGTGGCAAAAGATTTAGAAAGTTCAGAGGTGGCAGTAAGTAAAAGGTTTCCAGACCACCTGTCTGGAAAAATCCTTCAAGCGATTAGGTAATAGTCACTGACTCAGAGAGGTGACCTTCTTTTAAGTCACAGATTACATTATTAGTGCTCCATGTGAGAAATAATGTTGTCTGACCCTGGTGTCCTAGGGTAGTGCAAAAGTGGTCTGTGGCCAGAACCCAGCCATTTTACTGCTCTTGGCCCTGTGTCTTTGAGTTTTCATATTTCCTAAAGGGAGGAATCTGTAGTACAAGGTCCACAAAGTTCCTCTGAAGTTTTTTATTCCAAAGAGATGGTGTGGTAGCCTCTCAGGAAATCTTGCATCTGTGTCAGGCCCTCTGATTCAGTAATCCAACTATATCCAAGTTGCAAAACTAATTTTTTAGGTTACATTTGTGGGCACGGTTGGAAGATATTCTTATTCAGTGAACAACAGTATTAACTAGCCATGTTTATTGAATAAATATACACATAATACAGATGGAAATATATGTATATGAAAAAAATGTTCAGTGTAGATTCCAGAACCCAGTCCCTCTTTTAACGCACACAGTTTTAAAAGTATGTCTGTATTAGTTTTACTGGTTCCATATTCAGAGGAAACCAGGACCAGTTAAATACTCATTATTCATGTACCTCACTGGACCTGGTGTGAAAATCACTCAGTAGAGGGTAAATGAATTGTGGTCCTAAAGTGTGAAAAGAGCATAGTCATTGGTTTCTGTGACATCCTGTCTTTTTGTTAGAGCAATTTGCATTTGCTCCACACTTCTTGTATTATTAAGACTTACTTTCCCTCTTTTACTCTCAGTGGATTTAACATGTTTTGAGGGTGAAATGATGAAAAGGAAAAAAATGGAAGTTGTGCATAGTGTCCTGGAGTAACCTTTCTCTTGTCGGTCTTCCTTTTTCCGAGTTTGCAATTCCAGATGTTTAAGAAGTATTTCAATAAATGGAAATAGCCACCTCTTTCCCTTACTAGCTGTGTGACTGTTTTAATCTTAGAGCTTCAAATTCTTCATCTGTAAAATCTTGGTGATGAAACATAGTGGCTGCAAGGATTATACAAGTGGTCATTTAAATTTCTGGCATTTCCTGGTATTCAAAATGCTAATTCTCCCTTTTTCGAATATGTAAATATCCTCCATATTACTTGTTATTTTGCCTATAAGATTTTTCCTTCTAATTAAAGCAGCATTTTGCCAACTCCTTTCTGTGCAATAGAAGATACTGATAGGTTTCCTATGAGAGAAGAGTTCCACAGTTGAATACATTGGGGGAAGCATTCTCTATGCATCTCATCCTCTCCTGGAGATTTACACATAAAAGACTTCTGAGAAGTCTACTTAACTGTGTTTATCAATGTTTCCCAAAGCTGTTTGACCATGGACAACACCCATCATTTTACTTTCCCCATGAAACAGTGATGAACAGATCACAGGACAATGGGATACAGTTTGAAGGACACTGAGGAAATGCACTTGGAGTTCCAGAACTCTTGGGGACTACCACCAGACTTAGTCAAGAAGTCAAGGGACAGGGGTGCCCAATGTCAATGGGTTACATTTAGTTTGTCATATTACCTTATGTACTTCCTTATAGCTGCTGACAGTGTGTCCTTCTTCTCCTTAAGCTTTCAGTTAGAAATTGGGTATCTGTAGGAGCATCCATTTTACTGCTATTACAAATTTATGACACTCCAATCACAGGACTGTAGTCTGGTTTTCATACCATTACTTCTAGCAAATCAGCAAATATTGGTTGCACATCACCCTGCTAGGTCTTGAGCTTGATTCAAAGAAGTATGTAATGATCACTAACATTTAGTGAACACTTTGTGCCAGGCACTCTCATAAGTACTTTACTTCGTTTAATCCTCCCAGTGACCCTATGAGGGACGTATGCTTTTTTTCTCTTTTTAATTGAAGTATAGTCAGTTTACAATGTTATGTCAATTTCTGGCGTACAGCATAATGTTTCAGTCATACATGTACATACATATATTCACTTTTGTATTCTTTTTCATTATAGGTTACTACAAGATATTGAATATACTTCCCAGTGCTATACAGAAGAAATTATGGGTTTTTTTTTATTTTGGGATGTACTTGTATTATTTCATTTTACATTTGAGGAAACAGGCACAGAGAGGATGAATAACCAGCGTTAGGTGACACAGTTGGTCAGTAGTAGAAAAAGGATTTGAAAAGAAGCAATTGATTCCAGCATTTTTCAATCTTAACTATTACACAGTGCTGCCACCTATGAGCCTCAACTTCCTGCATCTTACAGACTCATATAGGGTACTTAGTTGGTTATTCAACATTTCCTCTGTGTATGGTGTGTTCTCCTTTTAAGACTAGGAGATTCTGTAGGATCTGCACTGATTACTCTATATCCTTGACTTCCTCTTTACTAAAGTACAGAATAGCAGCAGCAGCAGCAGCAGCAGCAGTAGTAGTTGTAGTAGTAGTAGTAGTAATTGTAGCAATAATAACAGATAATGTTAACATTTACCAACACTGATTAAGCTCTTAATTTATGAGCTAAGAGCTTTAAATTCATTATTTCATTTACTCTTTCAAATAATATTTAAAATAAACTACATATAGGAATACACTTATAATTATCACACTTGAAAGATGAATAAAACAAAAGTTAGAGAGATTAAGCAACTTAACCAGAGTCACGGGACTCCAAGTGGCTGAGCTGAATCATGCAGTGGTCTGTTCAGTCAAGGCTAGAGTTCCAGCCTCTCTGCTCTGCTGGCTCCCACAAACATCACGAGCACTTAACACGTATCTGCAGAAAGAATTACCAAATGTTGTAACAGAAACTGGTTTTTGAGTACTGAAGGAACATAAAATTCAGAACGTGCTTGGTGACTGGACAAATTAGGGAAGATTGAGGAGCCATCTTCGAGCACGTAAATCTTTCTCATTATCTCCGTGAAAACAAGAGTCAGCATTATATCCAGAGGGTCTTAAATAGTTACAGTCATCTTTCTGCCTCCTGGGCAAATCCTGGACGGGTGAAGTGTGTATCTGATTTAAAAATTACCCACTGAATGATTGTCTATTTAATGCACACATACACTAGATTCTAAAAAATGCTGCATGTCGAACATGGAAAAACATCAGGGCTTCCTTCTAATACTGTTTACTCTGCGGTGTCAGATGAAAAACGAGAATAGTATTTGGTCCTATGTAAAAAGCTTTATTTTCTTATGTGATAAAATGGGCTTGCATATTAGAATGCAGAGCTATGGCATTAAAGAGAGGCTACCACACTCAATAAAATCTTAAGTATCCTAATATTTGTTGATGAAAAATTAAAATCTCACCACTTGTTTAGAATTTGAAAAATTCTACGTCAGTCAAGACAGCATTAGTAGAAAAATCGCTCCAAAGGAAAATATTTCTTAATTTGTTACAATTTTATCATGTGTTCAGAAAATGTTTGCATTTAAAAGTTGTATGTTTGATTTAATTAAAATCTTAAAAAGATTTATATGCTCATTTAAAACATCGAGTTTGACACTTTTACTCCTGATGAATTAATATGCATTTGGATTCTCTGCATATTCATAGTTGAGTAGCTTTGATATTATGCTTAGAACTTGAGAATCATCAAGACACATTCTCTTAGCAAGTTGGCATCATTA